TAAGCCTGCAGCAGTCAGGATCGGGAGGAACGAAAGCGGAAATAGAACAGGTTTGTAATTGAAAGTATAATAATGTACTCTGACAATATTTTCATCTATTTATGTTTATGTTGACTGTATACAGGCCCATGTATCAACACAGGTGTCACATGTGTGTTTCAGGTTATGTGTATGTGGACTTGCACTCTGAAGAACAGGTGGAAAAGGCCTTGAAGAAGAATAAAGACTACATAGGTAACTTCTCCTGCATGATGTCCAAGCTTTTTTGGATTCTCTCTGTCTCTTTTTTATATACATATACGTGCAAATAAACTTAAAAAGATATATCCACACCCTGTGTTTGTGACGATGACTGTTCTGGCCAGCAATGACAAACTTTCTGTCTGTGTTTTAAGGTGGACGTTACATTGAGGTTTTCCGTGTGGATGCCTCTGGGGGTAAGGGCAAGAGAGACAGAAAGGGAAAAGAAATCGACAGAAACTTTACCAGGAAGCTTAAGGAGGATGAGGAGGAGGAAGATGTTGCAGAGTCAGGTCGACTCTTCATCAGGAACCTTCCTTACACCTGCACTGAGGAGGAGATCAAAGAACTGTTTGCTAAACATGGTAAATTAGAAAAAAATGTCACTCAAGTTAACACAGACTTCCACTCTTATCCTTAATGATGATAGTGTTTCAATCTTTGCAGGTCCTATATCTGAGATTGTCTTTCCTATTGACAATCTAACCAAGAGACCTAAAGGATTCGCTTTCATAACGTACATGATACCAGAGAATGCTGTGACAGCGCTGGCTCAGCTGGATGGACACATATTTCAGGTATTCCATCTCCAGCAGATGTTTGAGATATTTCTCTACTCCACAGGACCTGTAATGGCTCCTGGATTTGATCTTACAGCTTGCATTTCAAATCATGTTGAGATCAGATAGAAACATCTATTCTCTGGTACTTTTAGGGAAGGATGCTTCACCTGCTTCCCTCCACACTGAAGAAGGAAAAGGCTGACTCTTCAGATGCTGGTGGTCCTGGCTCTTCATCTTACAAACGGCAGAGAGATGCTAAAAATAAAGCTTCAAGTACCAGGTATATTTTTAATTACATCAACCCTCTGCCTCTGTGTCTCTGGCTTCTTTAACTGTACTCACAAGGATGAATCATTTTATTTTTGTGTCAAGTAAATACATGAGCTGTTCCCCATCCCACTTCCTGATTTAATGTTTCCTTCCAGCTCCCACAACTGGAACACCTTGTTTCTGGGCACAAGTGCAGTGGCAGATGCCATTGCTGAAAAATACAACACCACAAAAAGCCAAGTTTTGGACCATGTGAGTAGCGCTTCATGCTCTTCTACATGAATGTTCCCCATAACACGTTCCTCAACTCCAGCATTAATGAGTGTTCAGTGTTTGAAAACATCCCTGCATTAAAACAATGCTGTGGGAAATGCAAACCAGTAAACCAGTGAGAGGATGAAGTACGCTCCAAATCCAGTTTGACTAACTGATCTATGAGTTGGAAGCCTTATCAGATGCCAAAACACTGCATATGGATTTTTTTTTTTTTTTTATTAAAGGGACAGTTCAACCCAAAATCAAAAATGTGTATTGTTACCTTACCTGTAGTGCTGTTCATCAGTAGAGGTTGTTTTGGTGTGAGTTGCAGAATGTTGGGAGGTATCAGCTGTAGATATGTCTGCCTTATGATGAATATAATGGAACTAGATGGCAATCAGTTTGTGATGCTCAAAGTACCAAAAAATACATTTGAAAAACTCCATAACAATGTCTCTTTCCAGAAATCATAACCCTGTAACTTAATCCACACATCTACTGCTAGCTTACCTAGTACCACTGAGCTCAATAACATAACAGCCCAGCCAAGGAAGACGCCATTAATGTTTACTGTCACGCACTGTCACAAGCCTCTTGTCCATGAGTAGATGCATGCCTTCTGTGCGCTGATACAGTTGGTGGGTGTATTTCTGTAGAAAGAAAATAGTTCCTCTGTGTAACTGCTCACAACAAGCTCTGTGGGTCTGTGACTTTGTGTGTTTGTTTTTGCTTCTGATTCAAATATAAAGGAGGGCTGGTGGCTGTGTGAACTTTTTCCCATCACATCAACATGTGAATCCTTAAGCACACTGAGCTGTGCACATTTAAAGTTTCTGTATACCTCTCTGGTCCTTGCCCTACTCTGTAGGAGTCAAAGGGAAGTCTTGCAGTGAGGATGGCTCTGGGTGAGACACAGATTGTTCAGGAGACTCGGCAGTTTCTTCTAGACAACGGTGTCAGTCTGGATTCCTTCAGTCAGGTAGGTTTAATACAAACTCTCATTTTCAACAATTTGTTGCAAAATTGCCTTCAAACAATAACCGTGCCTGGAATCCACTTACTTTGGTTAAGGTTGTTTCCTGTGCGTGTCGTTTCCTTTGACACACAGGCGGCAGCAGCGAGGAGTACAACTGTGATCCTGGTGAAGAACCTTCCAGCTGGAGTGACGGCATCAGAGTTGGAGGAGCTTTTCTCACCTCATGGCTCTTTGGGCCGGGTGGTGCTGCCGCCCTCAGGCCTCACCGCCATCATCGAGTTCCTCGAGCCTACTGAGGCGAAACGAGCCTTCACTCGGTTGGCCTACAGCAAGGTATGTATAGCTTTATAGTAGCAAAGCCTGCATGTGTATCATATTTTTTAAAAGCTTGTCCTGTACTGACTGTATCTTTGAAAACCGTAGTTCCATCATGTTCCATTATATTTGGAGTGGGCACCTGTGGGGGTGTTTGTGGCAGCCAAACCAGAACCAGGTAAAATCCCTCAAACACATTCCTAAAAATACAATACTAGACAATTTAAGTACAAGTTAGTAAGTGCTAATTGGAATAACCAAACTATCTTTTGATCTATCCACTAAGTATTAGAAAAAGAGCAGGTAAAGAAAGAGGAGAAGAAGGATGGAGAGGAAGAAGAAGAGGAGGAGGAGGAGGAGGAAGCTGCTCCTGGTTCCACACTTTTCATTAAGAATCTTAATTTCAGCACGACAGAGGAGAAACTACAGGAGGTGGGTCAATTCATAAATTTAACCCTCAGTTACTTTTCATAACACTGAGTAAGGAATTATCAGAGGATGACTAAAGTTGTTTTCTTCATTTGTTGCAGACATTCTCCAAATGTGGCAAGATCACGTCCTGCACCATCTCCAAGAAAAAAGATAAAACAGGTATTTAACATTTAAAGTAGGTTCTCCCACATACATAAATAAAACATTCACCAGCGCTGTATATCTTGATTTAGGAAAAAATGTTGATTTATGAATGTAATAAAAGTTGAACACACAGGATTCTAGTAGAAGAAAACATCTGTATTCTGTGTGTCCTCCCAGGGTTTACAAGAGCATATGATAACATTTATATTCTTTAAACAGCCACCTCACAGTGTTGCTTTGATTTCCAGGCAAGACGTTATCCATGGGCTATGGTTTTGTCCAGTATCAGACAGCAGAGGCAGCACAGAAAGCCCTGAGGCAACTGCAGGTACCATTACCACCCTTTCTCTTGTGGAAACTTTAAAAGCCTTTTGCTACAGCTTGGTTTTTGGCTGAAGTGTGTTCTTTGTCTCAACCCTTCACTAGCACTGTTCTGTGGATGATCACCAGTTAGAGCTGAAGATTTCTGAGAGAGCCATAAGGTAAGATGTGCATCAGAAGGCTTTAGTGAACTGCAGCCAGTCTTAAAATATTAGTATCTCTATCAACTGAAATATGCATTATAATATCACTTGTTGGTAAGTTTTTCAACATTTCAAATGTTGACTGTAAACATCTGTGGGGTAGGATTTGGCTTGCAGTCTGACATGCAAACCTCACTTCTGTTGTCAGCACTTAGTTTTTTCCCTGTGTGCAGAGCTACTGAGGTGTCACGCAAGAAGAGGCAAGACGAGAAGAAACAGACAGGATCCAAGATCCTTGTGAGGAACGTCCCCTTCCAAGCCTCTGTCAGGGAAATTCGGGAACTCTTCTGGTAGCCGTCACACACACACAACTGATTTTTATTCTCACAAAGTGTGGAGAAAGTTGGAGCAAGGTGATTTAATAATACTATGATTTATTTCCTTTTGTCAGTACTTTTGGAGAGCTGAAGACAGTCCGTCTTCCAAAGAAAGCAGCTGGTTCAGGGAATCATAGAGGCTTTGGCTTTGTTGACTTCCTCACCAAACAGGACGCTAAGGTTTGTGCATTATGTAAGCTTTGAGACATATATTTAGGAAATCTACTGTCCTCAAGTGCTACATTAAAGTGAACATTACTATGGTCATAAATGCTATGCCCCTCTCTTCTATATAGAAAGCATTTGCTGCACTGTGCCACAGCACCCATCTTTACGGGAGACGCCTTGTGCTGGAGTGGGCTGATGCTGAGGACACAGTAGAGACACTGAGACGGAAAACAGCCGAACATTTTCACGGTAAACCCACAACCTGTTTAAATAACAAACAGAAATCAAAGCAGCTGCACTGTTTATTCATTTCTTTCGTCCATGTTGTTAATCCTCCCTGTCAGTGGCCACCAAGAAGAAGAGGAAAGCAGAAGTTATGGAGGGCATTCTGGAGACGATGGAAACTGGTGGAGACGGAGACAACTGAGTTCCCTGAACGCTGCTGCCTCTGTCAAAATCTCTGCCCAGTGTTTCTGTTTTTTGTCTGTATAAATACAACTGAACAACAAAAGGACCTGAGTGGCGTGGGCAGAATAAGCAATTGTTCTGAGTTTATCAGCTGGTGGAAGTTTTGTGGAAAACCAATGGATTTATTAAATTACACCTGTTTTGTACAGAATGATACCTCAGAGAAATATGACTAGACTGATGTTTGTTTTATATAAAATTTTATTTCATGCTTTACAAGTTTTATGTCTCATGTTGTGTGTTTGTGTAAGCCACTGACATATTGAGTAAAAAACATGGGTATTTTATTTTGAAACCCTCCCTGGCTGTCAGGTGACCAGTCACCCAATGTTATCATGTGACTTCTTCATGTGAACATGGCGTCCAGACCAAACAGGACGTCTGCTGGTGGACGTTATAAAATATTTTTAAACGTTTTAGCTCTTTTATCCGGGTTGTGTTTCATGTGTGAGTCTGTTGGAGCTGAAATACGAACCGCTGTGATTGACAAACAAAGCGGACAGCTGTCGGTCATTGAGGGATACCGAGCAGATTTTGTGGCCTGGGCGATCTTTACTGATGACATAGAAACGTCAGGGTGAGTTGAATGCAGGTCTTCATCATGTAGGTCCTTTTATCTGGGTGGACTGTAAAGCGGATGGATTTTGTTTAGGTCAAAATATATATATATATAAAAAATCCTTTTATCTTTTACGGCCTGTGAATCTCTGCCAGCTAAACCAGCTCATATGACAGACAAAGCAACTGCAGCATATTAGATACTTAAACTTTTCAATTTGTGCACGAAATGTAATTTCGTAAATGTAATTCAACATGCATGTGAAATAGTGATCGTGCCATATAGCCTACTAAGACCTAATGGGGGTGTGCCATGTCATCTCCTTCACAATATTACCGGTTTGTTTTAATTTGGGAGCTTTTTAAATGTGTAATTTGTGGTAGATTTTATATTGTTGAACTTTTAATATTGTATACAGAATCTGAATATCACTCTGAGTTACTGTTGTTGTATACAGACCAATGAAATGATGTAATTATTTTTATTTTTTACTGAATTTTGAAGGCAAACTGAAATGTTAAACTATATCATTTATTTTTGTTCCTTAAATTAATAATAATTTTTTCCCCCCGAATTTGTCATAAAGTCAAGACTTTTGTTATCGCAGAAATACCCTAAAATATGGGGATATTATTTTAGGGCCATATTGCCCACCCCTAAA